CGGGGGCGGCGGCCCCAACGCGCCGCTGTGCAAGGGCGGCTCCCTGGAGAGTGGGCAGGGCTCCATGGGCGGCTCGGCCAAGCACAAGCCCAACGTGGGCTACCGCCTGGGCCGGCGCAAGGCCCTCTTCGAGAAGCGCAAGCGGATCAGCGACTACGCGCTCGTCATGGGCATGTTCGGCATCGTCGTCATGGTCATCGAGAACGAGCTCTCCAGCGCCGAGGTCTACGGAAAGGTCAGTTCCCACGCTCTCTTTGCTGTCGCTCGAAACCTCGCGTCCTCGCTGCACAAGAAAAGTTACAAATCAGACATGTCGAAGTCGCGGGGAAAGGTAACTAGCTTGCCAGAGTTCCAAACCATCTGCTGTTGGGTTTAAAATTAAAAATTGTACAATTTGCTCCAGGGTGGCAGTACATCTCTGGATAGCTGGCCCATGTCAGGTTTTGGGAGAAGTTAGTTGACAGTACTGCCCTAAATTTAGCTACATTAATTCCAATTTCCTCTACTTAATCAAACAAATGATCCATTAATGTGTAATAATATAAAAGTCATATTTCAAATTGACAATTGAGAGTACAATTAAATAATTTAAATCCAAAGAATCTTTATTTTTAACCACTTTAATTTTGAGAGCAATAATTGCTTTAACGTTCTATGTTCATGTTACATGGTTTGTCAGGCATATATTCTCGTTCGAGAATTGTTAACTTACGAAAGCTTGTTAATAGTTTCCTCGTTATTGTTACATACTACAAATAACTGAATTATTTAATAAAACATAAGAAAATGAATACAAGGGAAATAAAATAAACATGAAATGATAATAAAAAGTAAATAATATAATCATAATTCAAATCTCGGTTTTTGATGTAACAAATCTGCCAAACATATTTTCGATTTAGCCACTGTTCCACGCCTCACCCCGGTTTGTCTTGCGCGTCTACATCCCCTTGTGTATTTGCTGGGGTAATGAGATCGAAGTCAGAGGCGTTCAAGTCGTGCTCGTAAGAGCGCCGGGCCTCTCAGGCGGGAAAGTAGCTCATGCGAGCGCAATTGGACATGCTTAAATAGATCGTCATATTTTAGTGATGTACAGAACTTGGTCCAGAAAAGAGGTCATTTTTACCAGGTAAAATTTCATAAAGATACTTCACAAATCGGCCAGTTTATACATTAAAACAGTTTGTCTATGTGCGTGAAGTAAACGACTCATCTAGGATCAAAGCTGTTCTCCTACAAAATGACAACTTTGAGAGGTACTTTTCTTGTGCATCGATGAAATGTGCTTCTGTATTCCAAATGCTGAATTCTTCGTGGATTCTAATGATTAGAATTACATTTTTGAATGTATTATAGTGTTTTACAGTGACGTGCATGTTTCACAAATTACCTTGTAGTTCAAACATGATAATTGGTTTAACCATGCAGAGATACAACTCCAGCTCGCCTATTATTGTTAAATGAAAGAAAAAGAATAAAAAATTGAAATGCATCATAAATTAATTATATAAACTTAAGGAGAAAAACTTTTGTCATTATAGATTAAAAAACATTTTAGTAGACGATAAGTAGCTGGAATAGGGAAGGTAAGTCAGTAATGCCCCGCAACCTTAAGAGTTAATATTTAGGACATTCACTGCACATTTTTTGTAAGAAGATAAAAACTTCACTACGAATTAATGTGACAAGGAAAAGTTTATCTCTATAGCTATTCATGAGACAATTTAAAGGACAATGAAGTTAAACTTGTGAAAAATTAAACCATTATCGTTTTTTACTTAAAAACTCTTGCAAATTAGTATTAGTCTTGGGTATTTCTCATTGAGCATAATGGAAATATCGTTAAATATTCTGAACGACTACTCCACACAAATGATTCATTATTTTTTGTGTTTCCATCCGAATGTAATTCTTCTGTAGTATTTGATTTAGAATTGAAGTTTTCAGTAGCGACTCAGAAATATATTACTTTCTCTAAGAGATTTATGGAAGATCAGTTTCTTCTCCTTTTTTAAAATCCGTTCAGTGAATAATCAGAACTTACAAACTACCCTCGGAGATGCGGAATAGAGTATTACTGTTTGAAAATGTTTATTACCTGGTTGCATTCAATGACCATCTCAATTAAGTGTTTCAACGTTGTATGAACAACGGAATGATTTCTCTATAGCATCACAACTATTTTTTTACAAAACTTGACAAGGAGTTTGTTGAAAAACCGTAACATTTCCTTTTTGATCTTGTTTTTATGGAAAAGCATGTCATTAAGACGTGCGGAGCGAAACAAGAGCATGACAGGTTCATCGTTGTTCACCTGAGACTTGGGTGTCAGCCTTCATAAACTCTACGTCAGACGGCGGAGCCTCACAATTAATAGTCCCTGTAACGTGTAGCAAGAAAGTGGCTTTTTGTATGACTTGGCGTCCCTCCAAGCGACCCAGAAACTTTGGGTCTTCAAGAAGTCTGCTGACTGGCTGTCTTCGCAAGCTGTCAAGTGTAATTTTGTTCCAGCCAAAAGCGAATACGAATACAGTTGTAGCTGTCTTGCAGGGAAGTTCGTCATCGGCATATTTAAGGGAAGCCACTACTTGAATAGGATAAAGACAAATCTCACTGAGTAGAAAATCGTAACACCTAAATAATGTTCTTAGTGAGTAACTTTGTTATTGCAGGTAATCTGCAGTGACTAACGACAGAAATGGGCAATCTATATGCTGACCTAGAAAATTTTCACAAAACTTTTAATATGCATATTGTTCACCAAATAATTATATGGTCATAATTTATAGCTGTAAATTAGTGAAATATTATAAAAAGAAAACAAATTGCAGAGATAAAATAAGCTTTTTTCCGTCTATTAATGTAATCTGCTTCTCAACGTCCTAGCCGTTTAGCTATAGCAATCATTTACTGATTTCTATTCAAGCAAGTTTTCAGCAGAAAATCATTAGATTAAACAAATGGGATGACTGAAGTAAGTTTGAAAATGTTTGTGAACATTTGCACTTAATTATCGTTATGTACTTTTTTCCGCATAATATATTTTCTTCGCCATCAATTTTCAGTATTATGAAATACACTTAATTTAACTCACTTCATGTCTTGTAAAGTGTGTTGTTGACGGCAAACTTGAGAAGAATTATCAAGATTTTCAAATTAAATGAATATTATTTGAATATATGCGCAGTTCTACCTCCTAAAGGCACAAATTCCATGTATGTAATCAGGGTTAGTTGCATGAGCAATCAGACCTTCAACATGAACCAATTTCTCACCAGATAACTGGTTAATCAGTGAATTGTAATTTTTGTTATACTACTTTTGACTATAAGAACTACATTACATTCTCACCTTTTCAACATCTATAAAATAAAATATGTTTCCATTTCAGAATGAAACATAAAAATGCTTAATAATACACAAAAAGACGTATTGTCATTGAACAAATATTAATTGTACATGAATGAAACGAATACTTCTTGGCGAAGACAAGTTCCCTAAATTTACATTAATCAACATTTAGGAAAATGAAGTAGTAAAATACTCATTTTAATTAATTTGAACGAAAAAGATTTGGTCTAATTTCAAAAAAGTACAGGTGTATTAGAATTGTTACATCTATTTAAATCTTCTAACTATAACAATGAGAAAGATATATTCTATTTCTTGCATTCTATTCTTTAACTGGGGATTGTTTAAATATTACGGTAATAAAATTAAATTGCTTTTAGCTTTCCGTCTCAAATCTCATCGCTGGATGTCCAATCTCTCTTTTTTTCCTCTGTCATACTTCACAGATTCACGCCATGAGCATAGCATGGGTCAGCGAGGAAGGTCAGGGAGGACTCGGTCACGGAGAACGAGTCATCTGAAAACAGCCCGCAAACAATCTGTCAGTGATCGATTGACTCTTTTCATCCTTTTTGGCGGCGCTCCAAACTTGCGCTCTGCAAAAAGCGACCTCACATTAGGGCACCGAGGACCCATGAAAATCTATTTGAGCTTTTGAGCGCTCCAAATTCTTTTTTTTTCCTACGCCGCATGAATTTTTCACTCTTTCTGAAAGCAGGCTCTAAAGGAGTCGCTTTCAGAAACCGTGCTCTGCTCTCGTACATCTGTGTGATTCCTGCACCCGGTGCTCGAGGGCTGTATGGAGGGCCGTGATATGAAATATTGCTCGTTAACTTCACAAGCACAGGCGACTTTCATAGCCGTTCCAAAACCCACATCTGAGAGAGGAATGGGCATAATCTTCTAAATTATTGACTAGAAATTGAACAATCATTGCATCGTTTACACAATACTTGACATATTCATATCCCTTTTATATTTGAATGCGATTTAAATTCATTCCTCTAAACTATCAAATTTAGGAATATAACGAAAGTTTTTTTTATCAAATAACTGTTCACATTTTTATATCATTCACATAAAATGTTACTGTTGAAACACAAGACATGATACTACTTTGGCATATAAATACAAATTTCATTACTCGTCAAAAGAGGAAAATCTTATCCAAGGACTAATTAGAAGGAACGCTTAACATTACCAAAAATGCGGGTTGCGACTTCTGAATATTTGACAGAATTGCCAGATTCTAATTACGTGAGTGACGGTGACAATAATGTGACTTTGCAACGTGATGTTAATGTTTTATGAAATTTCTTGTATCAACTTTTTTCTTGTAATTTTCTTGTAATAACTTGATATTTACGAAATAAGTACTGCTTTAATTTAGCCCGAGTTTGGTCAACTGTCGTGTATTGTAAAATGTTGATATTCAAATATCGTATTCTAAATATATCCTACATACTATCATTTCCTTTTAAATACATATTTAAATATTCATCTTGGAAAAGATGATGGACTGATGTTAGTAGTTAATAGCCGACGATGGATTTTTAGAACTCATGGGTTTTAAATACACTTGTTACCAACTGATGATAATAGTCAGTAAAACGTGGAATATAGGAACAATTGTATTGTAAAAAATACTTTTTACGAAACAAATTTCAAATACATTTTATGACTAAGTATATCCAATATAATAAATTCAACTTCAATATAAATTCACATTTTCCATAATGTGTAATTTCACTCAGAAGCATTTGTAAAAAAACATTCCAGTATTTTCTAGTATTCGCAGTATTCGAACAATGTTCATTTTTATTTCGAAATGGTAAATTTTTGATTGTCACCTTCAAATATAGATTCACATTATACTTCGTTCTGCGATTATAGAGTTTTCAATGAGTACACGTGTCCGGTAACTCTGACGTAACTTCGTTTTTAGTTTCCTTTTATGTGATTTCACTACTTTAAAATCTGTCTACTTTAAAGTGAGAATCAATTCTCACAGAACGCTTATATTGGGATATTTGTATTAATTTAACCATGTTTTAACAGCACGTGAACTTCAGTTGCTAAACGCAACCACTAAGTTTTGCGATTTTTTGTTGTTCTCCTATACGACACTAACAACGAAAGAATGAATGTTGCACATTTGACTATGATAACTTTTCTTAAATATGATTTTGGTTCTCTGACTCCGTTCAATTCGCCACCAACGCCGTCCCTAGTCCGCGTCCACCACCGTCCACTCGTCTGCCCCCGCCGTCGCGTCGCGCCATGCCGCGGGGTCACGAGACGTCTGGCAAACGCCTCTCCGCGCTTCCTAATGCCGACGGAAGCTGCGCCGAAATTGTCTCATTTCCGGCGACGGGAAAACCAATCGGGACAGCGCCCGGTCGACGCGAAGACGCCGCGACCTCGCCGTGTTTTGTTCGCGCGGCGCGCTGTGAAGAGCCCGGGGTCGAGCTCCGGCTGTGGCAGGGGCGCGCTTCCACTGATGCAGCGGATTTACTTTACGCCCCTCCCTGCGCCGATGGTCCCAGTCCCCCTCTCCTCCGTCCTGCCCCGCCCCACCCCACACTCTCCCTCTTCCTTGCATCATTCCGCCTTGT